AAACATGAGTATCAAGGAAGTGAACGAGGCAGACAAAATCAGATTTTAAATTTGAAATTAGATTTTGAATCTCTTAGAATGCAAGATGATGAGACCGTCGCTAAGTATTCCACCGAATTTCTTTAATTGTCAATAAAATCAGATTACTTGGCGAGGATTTCAAAGATGACAGGATAGTTGGAAAAATTCTTGTGACAATTCCCGAGAGATTTGAATCCAAAATTTCCTCTCTGGAAGAGTCTAAAGATCTCTCTACCATCTCTGTTGCAGAATTAATAAGTGCTCTTCAAGCACAAGAGCAAAGAAGGGCCTTCAGACAAGACAAAGTTACTGGGGGTATTTTTTATGCGAAACACCAAAAAGAAAAAGTCGATTATCCTTATTGCAGATATTGCAAAAAGAAAACACACTTAGAAAAATTTTGTTGGTGGAGACCTGATGCATTATGTGGAACTTGCAAACAAAAAGGTCATGTTATAAAAGTGTGCAAGTTCAAAGATGCTCATGCACAAGCACTAGTAGCAGAAGAAGGAATTGAGGATGACCTTCTTTAGACTGTAGCAACAGAAGCAAGGAGGAGTGTTGGATTTTGCATCTGTTACTGCTACTGTTTTCTAGAATAATTAGTTGTTTAGTTTTAGGAGGAGTCTGCTAGAAGATTCAGAATTTTAATTATAGTAAGAGTTTAGTAATTTAGTTGTAGGAGGAGTCTACTACTTTATTTATTTGGCTATTTAAATCCCTATGGTTAATAAAATTTTAGAAACAGTTTTTCAATCCTATTTTCAACCTTCTTGCTGCTTGTATATTTTTCTAAAATCCATAACACTAAGTCCTTGAGAAAGAATGCTCTAGAATCTTATGATCACAAGAGGTTAAAAGCTTTTATTTTATGCACAACCTTATCTGCTAACTAGATGCGGAGGGTTGTGGTTCTTGTAGATGGTGGGATAGAACCTAAAAAGACAACTAGATGTTGATGCACCAGTCTTTTGATGCCCGACAGCCACTTCTAGGGTAAAGAAAATTCCACTTAATTCCAACTCTATCTTTCTTTATACTATAAGCTAATTTTACGTATTTGGTGTTTGTGACTTTTTTCCCACCCAAATATGTTATCCATGGCCCTACCCGACCTTACCTTTAATTTCAGAGCTATCTGAAAGACAAATAAAAGCTGCACGACTATCAATTAATTATAATAGGGTCGAAAGTTCAATCACAATGAGAATGACCACTGAGGAGATTATCTGTCCACCACTCCTACCGCGGCCCCAGTATCTACCTTCTTGAAATCCCCAATCAAAATCCACACAAATAGGGCGATCATCAACAATTGTCCCACTGATATATTTGACAGAATCTTCGGTGTCGTCCCTAGAGTAGAACCTGAAAAAAGTTTTACAGTTGTTACAAATGCAAATGATATTCTCCATGCCTCCTTTTTTTTTTTTACTTCTTCTTCAGCTCTTTTCGTTTGAACGGGACAGGGGTTGAATGGGAGATAAACGCAAAAGTATACATGTAACAAACCAGAATATACACCTAATCTCATCTTGATGTTTATAATAGAATTTACTTCAGCTGTCAAAAAAATTATGAGCAAATAGGTGTTTGCATATAACTGCAAAATCAGTGACAGCACTAAAGAGACAAAAGCTCGTGATACACTACTTATCAATATGACTCCTACTAGCAAAAGGAATGCAGACCTAGTTTGACATGGTTGGAACAGGGCAACAAGACAGAGAATGCAAGAAACAGATATTCCATCTTTCTCTGACTTTCAGGCTAGAGACTCTCTCTTTCCTCATTAATGAACTTGTCTTCCATCATTAAGAAGGTAACCAATGAGCGACAACCGAGTGGAACAAGAGATAACATCAAAGACGGCACAGCCAAACTACTCCCATTTTTTGTTACGACCTGTTAGACTATGCCACAGATAAACCAACCCCGGATTTGAAGGATTAAGACAAAAATAGGAGGGAAATTTTCTTTTTCTTTTCTATCAAGTAGGAGGGAGATTTCCTTTTCAGTTAAAGTAGAGGAAACATGGAGACTGAGACCCCATTTAACTAAACGTTTTGTAATATCAATAAGGACCTTCAAGATTACGAACAAAATAACTACATATCAGGCGATTAATGTCGAATAACAGTCGCACCTTTCATTTTCTCCAAATAGATGCAGAAAAATACTCCCCTTCCTCTCCTCTCTCTTTCCTTTTCTCCTGCATATCCCTTCCTTTTGTAGGACTCTTTAAAATCAAAAAATCTATAACAAAGTTTAACAGTGATCATTATGTGAGATTTAGATAGATAATTGCAATAGGGTTGAATCCATGAAAGAAGTGGAAATGCTTTCAAATTTTGGAAGTCCCTGCTATTTTCTACCTAGATTTCGGGGACATTTGACAGAATCAGATCAAACGATTGTGGTATAAGCCTCTTTAATAATCTTTACAATACTTCTTAGGTTAATAAGTTCCTTGTATTAATAGTCGGGACTGTAAAATGTGACATCTAATTCTTAAGACACAGCGAATAAGAGTTGATCGATACTTGTAGGAGTAGAGACGGAGAGCATGATTCTTATATTTACTAGGCGGCGTGAACAAATGCCAAATACATAATATCAATATCCTTACTGAACAAGTAGACAAAAACAGAACTAAAGGGAAATAGTTAAAGCTGCAGCAGGCATACCGTAATTGGAGAAGAAATTATACAGTCGAAGGAGCAACACAAAATGAAAATTGGAGATTGAAAGAAAAGGTTCGAGCTATACATTACAAAGCAGAACCCACAAGGAGTTTTGGAATTCTTGTCCAATCCCATCACTATCTTTTTAATCTTCCAGCACGAGAGAACAGCTCATATACTTGTTCCTCTGTTGTGTAGAAGGACATGTTCCCCACATAAACAGTTGTCGACTTCAGCAAAGCATATTCAAATTTTTCCTGAGTTCCTGGAAACCTTCTATCCCTATATGCTGAAATCTTGGCTAAATCCTAAAAGAAAAAAAAAAGCAGATAAAATGTTAAAAGATAAAAGCAAATAAAACCTAGATTAAGAAAGGACATAGGACGCCTCGGACACCACAATCTCTTCATGTTAAAAATTCATGAAATGCCATAGGATATGCAGGAAACTCAACTACTGCACTTCAGTGTTGTTAAAGGCTAGCTTAAAGTGCGCTTAAGTCCTGAAGCTCGGTAAAGCCCAGGTCGTGCTCACTTAATTGGCGCTTTAGTGTAGGCGTCAAGGTGTTAGGCGTCTGCACCTTCACCAATGGGCTCTGTCTTTAAGGGCACAACATCATATATATAGCTTGATTATAGTTTTCTATTCTTTTGTCCAAATAATTATTATTTGTGTTTGTAGTTACATATTTTTGCAATGCATTTCATTTTTTTTTTTCCACACTTTAATTGCGCTTAAAGCTCCAGCAGACTTTGGAGCTTTTTGCGCTTTTCACTTTTGACTACTCTGCTGCACTTTGCTAACATTATACTAAAATAAAGAAAGGCAGAGACGTATCTTCCTTTCAAAACTACAAACTTTCGAGTTAAATCGGGAAACCATGACTGAAAGATTGAGATGTTAGCTCCTTATAACACCAAGGTTTAACACGCGTTACTCGTCAAAATATCCATGCATAAGGTGTGTGTTTGATTCTCACAATACCCTTCCCCAACCCCCCTCTATAACAGAAAAAGTCTAGGAAGAAAAAAGTTTTTACCTCCTTTGGATGAGAAGCTATACAAGGATTAAAGCATTAGTGACTAGTATAGTTATAATATGTCTTTTAAATGCTCCTCCAAAGGTTGTTCTTTTCACGGGTGGGAGCAGCCCACAGACCCCACCGACCAGAATTAGCACAATCCACGAAAACACAAAGAAAGATACAAAGTAAAACATTAAATCAATGGACAAATTGCTTATTGAACAAACATCCCATGTATACAGCACAAGTGAGAAGCCAAATAACACTGAGGCGTTCATATTACCTTGAACAGTGAAGCCACTCCATTTTGCTCCCAACTATATCTCCCACCTTGGATCTTTTACGCCACCTAATAACTGCAAAATTCTACTTCAAACAAGCATTATGATTAGACTGATTCAGAGTTAAACATTAGCTCAAAAGAAGAAAAGGGCTTTTGGAACTGTTTTGGGCCTATAAACCATCAAGAGCTAAAATGATTCAGTTAGAAGAAGCGGACAACAAAAGCTGGAGGCATTAGGATGGCGATTGAGACTCTGAATGCAGGAGCATACTATAGAAGCAAAGTAAAGTGTACAACTGAATGGCGCCATAAAATGGTTAGACAATGCATTAGGAAACCATAGCTAATAAGTAAGGATGTAGAGATGGGGATTGGGGGTGGGAAAGATAGAGAGAGACCATCTAATATAAGCTACTTTGGAGAAAATATGACTTTATAAAATTGTTGCTGAGAAGAAGAGTATTAGCAAAGAGTCAAAGAAGCTGAAATAGCATATACAGCGACCAGCGAAGCAACTTAAGTAAAATAGAGTGCACAAATGAAGTGTACCAGAAAAAACATTCCATAAGTTAGCCATTTAGCCAACAAGACATACAAAAATGACTAACTGCCGAATTTGATGATGTTAACGGAGAGTGAACTTGAGGAAATATTACTTTCAGATGCCAAAAAATGCATAGCTCAACATCAGTGGTCAATGCATTCTGTTTTCACTTCTTAAGACTTATCTTCAAGCCTCCTACATTCATTGCTACAAATGAAAGTTTTTGTTAAGGTACTAAATTAATCCGACTTCTCTTATTTGCTGCTGTTGTCTTAGTTTTAGCAGCTTGATATTACAGATCATACGAAGAGTGATCCTATACCAACAGCCCAAAAATAGTGAAACAACAAAATTCTATAAACAGGAAAACACAAAACAGAACATCAAGAGAAAATGTCAAATAGATCAAAGAAACTGGACATCAACAAATGAGCAAAAGCAAAATAAAAAAGAGCATCTTCCATAATTGAACTTTTCATTATAAACAATTAGAATGAACTCTAAGAGTCACTGAGACCTTGAGAAAACGACAATATGATCTACATTGCACAAAATCGATGATGAAAAAATGTGTTGGTTGTTATTGTAACACCAACATAATCTAAATATCCAATAAATCAATGTCAGAATCCCTAAGATTTCACAGATATCCTAATCTAAAAAAAAAGTTATCTTGGATTTCAAAGAAACTCAAAAACAAAAAATACCCTTTTCAGAAATCTACCAAGTTTCAATTTTCAAGAATTAGTAAAGCAAGTCATTCTGCACTAAACCATGATCCCCAAGATCCAATATAGATTCCCAATCAAATTCTACCTCATCACCTTCCTGATAATAGCATTCTTGATTTTCTACGTTCAGCATTCCAAAGAATTCATCAGAATCAGTCTAATTAGCAAGAACCAACATTCCATCCTTTGGTTCTAATTGTTCCACAGAAAAAACATGAGAGGAAGTGCTCTCCAACATCACAGGACTTTTGTTAGACAAAATCATAGTACTCTGTTCTTCTTCGGGTGATGTTTGGAGATGAACCACACGATCAATGAACCTCTTATACTCTACAACAGTAGCAATACTATTTCCTCGGATTTCTGATCTGGGGTTCTTCTTAATCGCACATATTACAAATTCTTTTGCATCCTTAGATTTCAACTCACGAAGAAGAGAGTCAGCCAAGAAATACTCCATCATCAACCAGCAGCCATTCAAAGAGGAGTCTTTCTTGTTCTTGTAACTCAAGCTTCTTTTAAACCCAATAATCAGACTCTCATCCTCATCAAGAATTTTCTTGCCTTTATTCTGCTGTGTCCAAGTGCCATTACCAGTAGTTCTGTTGAATCGGGCATCAGTGGGCTTCTTCTTCTTCAATTGGGTGAGGAAATAATGGGTTTTCTTGGAACTAATGTCTCCAATTAAATGCCATGGCTCTTTGCTGTAAACATCTGCAAAGACAATCAATTCTTCAGTTGGTAAGCATTTTCCAGCCACAAATTTCATCAATTGCATTATCAGTTCAGTGTCAGAGGGACGAAATTGAGCAGTCTTCTCCATGGGTTTGGTTCTTTCTTGAGGCATTTGAAGAACAACGACAGAAAACACTTTCTTGAATCGTGAATGACAGACTTTGAACTAGGAAGAACACAAGAATGAGAAAGACCGTATTCACGAGGCCACAGTTGGTTTATGAATATCCTTGAATGGACACACTTTTGGAAAGTATGACACGGCAAAAACAGCTGTGACTAATAACGTTTTCTCTGTTGTTGCAGGGAAAGGGCCAAAAATACCTTGAATTGAATGGACAAATCTAGATTTATATTTATATTAAAAAATTTATTAAATATATATAAATAAATTATGAATTCGATAATTAAAACAACTAAGAGAGTATAACTTAAAGTAATATGTGTTAAATTACTTTTTTTAATACATGTTAATTACCATTTAGAGTATTTGCTTGGCCCATTTAAAAATAGTAAGAGGTTACTTTGATTTTTGTATTATTATCTCATTAATATTATGTTCGATGTAATCCTTTCAAAAATATGCAACTAAAATATAGTTGTGGTAGTAAATAACCGCACGTGTAGATGAGTTATAGAATAAGAGAGTTTCACCCAATTAATTTATTTTTTTTTTGTAATTTGAATTAAGAACATGTTTTTGACTTTTAAAAAAAATTCGAAAAAAAAAGTGACGGAAATAAACATGATAGTTATTTTCACCCACTATAATTGAAAAAAGTTGTTCAATCATCATACTAAAGTGTAAAGTCTCTTCAAGTTGTTGTCATTATTAAGCAATCACCTAGTTGAGAGTTGAAATTATCGCAAATGAAGAAACTTCCATTAAACTTATTGCTAAACTACTGATTTGTATGCCTTTATCTTTAAGGCTTAATTTAATGAAAAAACGCTCTTTCCTTCTCTTGAAATGCTCTCGGCGCAGTTTTAGCAAGGATCGCCATGACAAGGAAGAAGAAGAAAGAATCAACGCTCGTAGAACCAGATCCGCCTTCCCCTACGATGAAGGAAGGCAATACCCGTACTGTTACCCCGAAAACTGGTGTTCCACAAACCCTAGCTCCGATTAAACCTACAATGGCAGAGGTGGTCAAAGGGAATAGGTCACAACAGTTAGCGCTGAAGCTTGATTACTACCCACCTGTTTTGAGGGATGGACTTAAAGTGGTCAAGCTCAATCAGACGGAGTTAGAGATGCAAAATCAGAAATGGCGATCAGCTCTAATTGGATATGTGATTGGAGGGAACCTACCTTCAAATAAATGCTCAAATTTGTCTACGGTGTCTGGAATTATGTCAACACTCCTCAGGTATTTTTGCACGATCAACGATATTTTATATTCAGATTTCATAATGAGGAAGAGAAGACAAAGGTCCTACAAAACGAACCATATACGTTCAGTAATCGACCCATGATTATCAAGCAATGAGAACCTGACTTCCAATTTAGTCAAGAGCAAAACAAAGTTCTTCCTATATGGGTAATATTCCCTGGGCTACCAATTCAATACTGGACGACTGATAATCTCGGCAGAATAGCAAGCTGTTTGGGGAAACCAGTCTGTACTGACAAGCTAACAGCACAAGAGGAAAGGATATCGTATGCCAGGATGCTTATTAACATGGATATATCACAGCTGATGCCGGAATCATTGACCATTGAAGAACCTAATGGGAAGTGCCTATTTCAGGAAATAGAATATGAATGGAAGCCAAGCTATTGTCAGGATTGTCTGCAAATTGGGAAACACAAGGATACATGTAAGAAAACCAAAACAGATGTTCCTGCCCAAGCCAAACCTAATCCCAGAAGGAGAAAGCAACAGAAGCAACCACAATAGAGGGTTAAACAGACTCAGGGCCAACATACTGCAGCTGAGCCTGTTATGGAAGCCAATAGTACAGAGGTCGTGCCTGTGGAAAATGACCAACCTAAGGCTATTGAATATATAGAGCAAGCTTCAGCAGCTAAGAATCTCACAAGGGGGAAGCAGAAAATGAATGAGGAAGTGGTCTGTCCAAGAGAACAAATTATAATTGATGATGTTGAGCATCTCCTGAGACAGAACAAATATAGTGTACTGAGAATTCAGCTAGAGAAAGCCATGGAGAGGGCTGCCAAAGGAACCAGCCCTACAAAACACCCTCCATGATTTTTTGCTCTTGGAACATAAGAGGGCTCAATAAGCCCTATAAGCAGAAGGAACTTAAAGCCTTCTTGCATAAAAATAAAGTTTAGTTTTAATAGGTTGCCTTGAGGCAAAAATAAAGCAAAGGAATGCTACTAAAGTGAAAAGAAATCTGGAAGCTGAATGGGAGGTATATGCAGGCTATACATCAACACCTAATGGGAGAATTTGGATCTATTGGAAGCCTTAAAGGGTTGTAGTGACCATTCTGCTAACTAGTTCCCAGCTGGTGCACTGCCATGTCAAAGATAGAGACTCTCAATTTGCCTGTACAATGACTTTTGTATATGGATTCAACACAGGACCTGAGAGGAAAGAAATTTGGATTACCCAAACAAATTGGTGACACTATGATTGATCCCTGGATTGTCTTGGGAGATTTCAACACCATTTTGTCCGTCAATGATAGAATAAATGGCCTACCAGTATATCCATCTGAAATTGTGGATTTTCAGGAAGGTATTGCAGAAGCTGGCTTAGGTCAGATCACCAGAAAAGGATGCTCATACTCATGGAGTAACAACAGAGATGCCACTGATAGGATTTACAGCAGGATCGCTTGGGCCTTTGGAAATGATAACTGGTTTACAAAATTTAGCAGCCTTGAAGTCTTTTATCATGTTCCAGAATGCTCTGATCACTCTCCAATATTGATCAACACTGAGGTAGCTAGATGGTCCCTTCCTAGCCCATTTAGGCTGCTTACAGTGTTACTACAACAACAGGCTTTCAAAGAAGTAGTTCAGAGGGTGTGGATACAAGAAGTACCAGGTTATCCCATGTTTAGCATTTGGAGAAAGCTCAATGTCATACAAAATGAGACTAAGCATATGAACAAGGAAATGGCTGCAGTAGATAAGAGAATTGGCGACCTCAAAGAGAAGCTGCAATGTGTCCAGGAAAGTCTAAGTACTGACTTATTCAACTCTCACTTGATCAATGAAGAGAGAGATCTCAATATGCCAATAGAGAAATGGGCTTCCATTCAAAAGAAGGTACTCATACAAAAGTCCAGAGCAACCTGAGTTGCCTATGATGATTCTAATACAAAAATTTTCCATGCATCCCTCAAGGCAAGACAAGCAAGAAACAGGATATCATCCATCTGTACAGAACAAGGAGTTAGCCTCACTTACCCAACTCAAGTCCAACATGAGTTTACAACTTTTTTTCAGAAGTTATTGGGTACAGCAGCATATGAGCTTCCATGAATCAATGTGAACATTGCAAAAGATGGTCCATGTCTGACAGAAGAACAACAGCTACTACTACTCCAACCAGTGACAAAGGAGGAAGTAGTGCAGGCATTAAAAGACCTTCCAAATGACAAGACCCCAGGTATTGATGGCTTCCCTACGGAATTCTTTAAAGAGTACTGAGGGATCATTGGAGAGGAAGTGACTCTAGCAATTCTTCAGTTTTTTGAAACTGGTAAACTACTAAAGGAGATTAATTGCACTACTGTAACATTGATTCCAAAGGTAGTTGACCCTAACTATATGAAGGAATTCCGACCAATAGCATGCTGCTCTACAGTCTACAAACTTATATCCAAGATACTTGCTTCAAGACTGAAAAGGGTAGTTGATTATATTGTCGGGAACTCTCAGTCAGCTTTTATTGAAGGGAGAACCATACTCGATAATGTCATAATAGCTCATGAATTAGTCAGAGGCTATTCTCATAACGGTGTTTCTCCTAGATGTATACTGAATGTGGATATCAGAAAGGCGTATGACTCAGTTGAATGGGGATTTTTAAAAATGCTATTATTAGAATTTGGATTCCCTGCAAAGTTTGTCCAGTTGCTAATGGAATGTGTGTCCACTGTTAGTTATTCTCTGCTGATTAATGAAGGTCTTACTCCCAGATTTCAAGCCAAGAAGGGGCTGCGACAAGGATATCCTATGTCGCCATATCTATTTGTGCTTGCCATGGAATATCTCAATAGATCTCTGAAACAGCTTAGGCATAACCCGGACTTCAATTATCATCCTAAATGTGGTAGGATGAAGCTGGTGCACATATGTTTTGCTGACGACTTGTTAATGTGTTGTATAACAGACAAGATCTCCATCCACCTAATGCTTCAAGCCTTTCATCATTTCTCAGATGTCTCAGGCCTTAGAGCAAATATGGAAAAGAGTTCTTTATACATTGCAGGGGTATCTCAGGAATTCAAAAACCAAATCTTAGAAGAGATGCAGTTTTCTCAAGGAGAAATGCCATTCAAATATCTCGGAGTGCCATTGTCCTCTAAGAAGATCACTGTTCAACAGTGTCAACCTCTGGTGGAAAAGATAATTGTTAGAATACGATGCTCGTCTACAAAATTTCTCTCCTACAGTGGGAGAGCCCAACTTATCAAGAGTGTCTTATTCGAAATGCAAACATACTGGGCTCAGGTCTTCCAACTACCCAAGAAGGTTATCAAACAGGTAACAAGTATATGTAGAGTCTTCTTAGGGACTAGGAAACATGAGGCTACAAAAAGAGCACTTATTTCCTGGGAAAAACTATGCATGCCTCGATCTGCAGGAGGGCTGAATATCATTTATCTATATACATGGAATAAAGCTGCAATCTGCAAAATACTTTGGGCTATTGCTGAAAAGAAGGACACCTTGTGGATCCAATGGGTACATAGTTTCTACATAAAAAGTAATGCATTGACCTCAATAGCTGTCCCTAAACAGGCTAGCTGGATTGTTAGGAAAATAATTGAAGCAAGGGAATGGTTTCCAAATGTGGATCCCAGAGCAGAACTACAACGCTACTGTATAAATGGAGCTTCTCGATAAAGAAAGCTTATCTGGCCCTTCTCCCACAGTACTAAAAAGTATCATGGAAGAGCTGTATTCTTGATCCTTCCTTGTTACCAAGGCATCAATTTATATTATGGATAGCAGTCTCTAAAAGACTTGCTACAGTTGATCGATTACAAAAATGGGGCATACAGGTGCCAAGTGCATGTGTGCTATGTGACTCAGGATTGGAGGAAACTGCTGACCATGACCATTTGTTCGTCT